CCCATTCCTCAGGTATCTTCAAGAATATGTGGAAGAATTTCTCTAGATATCTGCTCTGGAGTCTACTCTACTTTTTTCTTAGTTTTCCAAAAAAAATAAAAAAATAATGGACACAAAAGGGTGATACTGAATCAAAATTTCTCAGTAAGCCTATCCCCAGATAACACTTAAAAATGTTTAAGAGAGACTCAGAACAATTGCAAAAGCACTGGAACCAACAGAGTCCCTTGCTTTGATAGAACTGTCAGAGAAATATCTACACATTCCAATGAGTAGCTCCCATAATTAATTCTTAAGATGTTATGATAATCAGCATTTCTAATATTGTCACTACCTTTTGACCTAACCTCTGCACCAAAAGTATTCTCCAAGGTGTTCATAGATCTTATGGCTCAGCTTGAAAGTCAAGGGATTTGATTCATCATTATCTGGATGACATCTTGACCCATTCTCCTTTGAGAAGCAAATGCCTGATGAATGCACAGACCGTGGTGTCAGGCCTGCCTCAACATGGTTTTATGGTCAACCTGAGGAACATGACCTGATTCCCACCCAGCAACTGCCACATCTAGGGGCTATGCTAGACACAGAGAAATTCAGGAGGTTCTTAGCAGCCGATAGATGTGCGAAGATGCAGGATGCTTGTCCACCATGATGGCAGCAGAACAGACAGACCTCACAGACCAAGCCACACTCCTGTGCCTGCAGGCATTTTGTCAGGATTTGGTGAATGGTTCAAAGTTATATATGCAGCCACTTCAATGTCATCTTCTTCCATTCCTTAACCAGATGGTACGATTATCTCATACTTGGGTCCAGGTACCTTCATGTCTCCAGTTAGATCTGAAGTGGTGGTGCAGACACTACGATTAACAAAAGGTGCTTCCTTGATGGTTCTCATTCAGAAATGTTTGGCAACCCCATCCTTGCCAGGATGCAGCTTGGCTACCTGGGGAACCAACTCCTGCAGGGGTCCTGGTCCAACAAGGAAAAGTGGTGCAGTATCAAATGGCTGGAACTCAAAATCATTTAGACAAGCAATACCATCGGAAAACCCTAACTCAGCAGAGAGGGATGAAGTTGAACAGGCTGGCCTGCAATTTCTTAATATGGGCAGAGGCCTCCCTCCAAGTCCATCTCAGCAGAATAACTAGTGGAAGTGTCCTATCTGCTGGCAGTTTCCTTGAGTCACATCATCTCTCAAGAAATCTTAATGGGCTCTCAATCCTAAAATCATTCAGATCCTGACCAGAAGTATGGGAAAACAATCAGTGAAATCTTTGCCATGCCACACAATGCACAGGTTATAACTTTTTTCTCTAGTTTCCCATGTCATGCAGTAGCAGGCACAACTTTCTGGTGGAACCGTGGCTGAAAAGGCCGTTGTATGGCTTCTCCCACCAGTGTGCTTTCCCCTAGAGAAGCAGATTCTTCCTGCTGGGCAGATCCCAGATCAGCATGTTTCCCAGGTCGAGTTTTTGTGATGCATAAAACCCAGAGAACATCAGCAGAAGGCATCCTGGCAGCTCCTTACTGACTCCTCTGGCTTTCAGCCCTGATAAGCATGTTGATCTGCCACGCAGGAAGAGATCAGCTGCTGCACCTACACTCACGTTTCTTTTGTAACAGCCTGAAGGCTGAAAGGCAGTGGTAGTTGAACCTGGAATAGCATGATTCTTCTGTCTTCAAGAGCCTATAGTAGCTCTTGGAAGACCTTTTTGGCTTGGCATGAGGAGTTATAAGTCTCCAGCCACAGAGTTCATGAGAAGTGCTGGGCTTTTTCCAGTGGAGCTGGATAAGGGTCTGGATAAGAGGCAAGCAGCTGCACTCTGGAACATAATGGGATGTGAAGGGAATCAACCCATTTCAACTCAGCCACACCTCAAAAGGCTCTTAAAGGGAGTAGCACTCCTCAATCCCCCAGCTGCATTTCCTACCTGGAACCTGAACTGGATTCTTATGGTGTTGATGGATAAGCCATTTGAGTCCATGGGCATGTGTTATTTTAAGCTGTTCACTCTTAAGACAATCTTTTTGTTAGCTGCAATTTCAGCAAGGAAAATGTTGATATTAGAAGCCCTCTTGACTGATTCATGGCCATATATTTTTCATTATGGTAAGATGGAATGTCATACTGAACCTTTCTTCTTCCCTTCCATAAATTCTGCTTTGCATAGATCCTAGAAATTTCTCTTCTGCCATTCTGCCCCAAGTCTCTTCATCCAAAGGAATGGAGTTGGCATAAATTAGATATGAGAAGGGCACTGAGATTAGCTTTAGACAGGACCGCGACCCACAGGTCTACCAGCTCACTATTCATTACTTACTTGACTAAAAGGCTTGGGGGACGAAGGTGTTGAAGTCCTCTGTCTAGACATAATTGAAACAGTGCATTCTGCGGGCCCATCCGACTTTTGTTAACATTTCTTTGGCAGATGCCACTTTCGGACACTTAGTGTTGCAAAAGATGCTGGTGCCTTGAATGCTGGTTCCCATCCATCCTGTTGATGGACTGATATGTCACATCCCAAAGTGCAAGGATGCCCACCATGAACCTCTGAAGTAAATAGAAATGTGCTTACCATGATCCCCCCCCCCTCAGAGCTCCACAGAGGACAGTATTATTCTATTAAAGAGGAAAGTGGGGTACAGCTTTTGTGACCACCACACATGTCAAGGTAGTTAGGCAGGGAGTTGCCCTTGTTTCTTTTTTAACAACTTGTTTCAAGTTAACCATGCTCATGTTTTCATACCACTGATGGAGGCTTGTTTTTAATTCCTCCAGCTGCAGGTTTTTCTCTGCCCGACCAACCAGTCTGGCCTGAGAGGGCAGGGTGGCTCTCCCCAATAAACAAGGGTCAAATCGCCTTTGGCCACCCGGACCAGGGGGAGACGCCATCCTGGACTGAAGGAAAATGTCCATTTTCCAAATGATAAAATCACCACAGCCCTGCGCTACTATGTCTCACAAAGTGCCTATCACTTAACAGGCCATTCATGGGAATGATGTGTGGCTGGGAACAGGAGTTATTTCTTCTTCAGTGGAGGTGTCTGGCCCCAGATCTTTGGCACCCTATCACAGAGGCGAGCAAATTACAGCTTGCAGGCAGTCCATCACCTAATTTCAAAAGCTATCAGTTCAGACCTCTGGCAAAAGGGATTCTTTTTGTCCAAGATCCCGAACTGGCAGGGAGGGAGGAATGGGAAAGTTGAAGAGTGGTAGAGGCAGAGAAATAGATACATAAATAAATGAGAGTTGCAGATTTATTAAAGAGAGGGTGCGGCCCTGCCCACTTCTGCCCTTGGCCTCACCCAATGCCAACATGCAATTGCTGACAAATTACCACATGGCCCTCCATAAGAAAGGGTGCCCTGCCCCAACATGAGCTGTTCTTATCATTAATCATGGCATTACAAAGCAGCTTTTGAAAACAGAGTTGATTTAACACTCAGGACAAGAGATGCAATCAGAAGTCTAGAGCCAAGACAGATCCAGCAAACTTGCCGCTCCTTCGGGCCAGAGAGGGACCGAACAGAAGACAGCATAAGGGGCTATTGAGAAAGGAGAGAAAAACCCATTCTTTAAGAGAGAGTGGTTTTCTTAATAAGCCTTTATCTCATCAGGGGATGAACTGATAAAGCTTGATAATACAAAGCTAAAGACAAAATACCTAAACTCAAGAGGAATTATTTCTTACCAGGCAAATCATGTCAAGTGACTGAGCCTTCCTCCCTCTCAGCAAAACTTTATAACTGCCATCTCCCAACTAAATCTGTATTTGTAATTGTTTTACAGCTGGGGAGGGCCAAACTCCCAATGCTCTTAGTTATTTTTTATTTTTTTCCAATTAAACTCAAGGCCTTTAGGCAATTCCTGAAGCTACAAATGAAGGCTTGGCTATGCAGCTCATAGCTGGGCTGTGGCTGACCATGGCCTGAGGTAACCCATATCAAAATCCCAGACCAACTGCAGGCTGAGAAAGAGAAATGCCACACGCCAGCTGCTGCTCTGCTCTGCTCTGGATTATGAACAGTACAACGGAGCTGCTGTGCTCAAACGCAGCGTGCAAGCACATGGGCCCTGTTGGCCTGACAGGATAAACAATGAGCCTCTGCTAAGGTTGCACGTGAATGGCTCCCCTAAGCAAGAGAAACACTGGCACCAAGCTTGCCTGATGCCCAAATACATCCCCAAGTGAATTTTCTTTGGCACAAAGAGGGAAATCATCTATAAAGGCCCATTCCTAAAAAGCCACGGTCTCTGATCTACAGGGGGAAATGCTGCTTACACAAGAGGTAAGGTGGAATGCTTTTCTTTATCACATTCTGGGCTGCATCTCAGTCCTGGCTTAAATCAAGACCTACAGCAACAGCAACCATTAACATCCGCAGACAAGCACTCTCCATTTGCTCCACCCGAGCGACCTCATCGCCAAAATCTCCTTGCTCCCCTTCATTGTTCAGAGCTTACTAGGAAGCCAGCCTCTCCTCCAGAATCCCTTCTTGATTCCAGGCTTTGGCTGAAGTAGTAATGAGTGTAAGTAGAGAACACTGGCCTCACCAACGGAAAATCAAAGGCAGCTCGAAGATGAAGAATTCCAGGTCAGAAATCACAAGGTTCAGGCAGGCCTAAATCCTTGAGTGGGACTGGATTTAGCCAGAAGCATGTGCCTCATAGGAAAGTCCTTGGGTGACAGTAAGAAGGCAGAGAAAGTCAACTGTAATAGTGGAAGCGACTCAGTTCTTCTTCTTTTTTAGGAGAAATGCATTTTACCCACCAAATGCCCAGCCACTCCCTCACCCACGACTCTGCCTTTGCAGGTGTATTAGGGAGCACGGCCAAGTGCCCCAGAATGTCTGCTTCCCGCTGCAGGAAGGGCTGCCTGGCACATTGCCAGCTCCGTCTACTTCCCTGGTCTTGTGCAGAGAACCAGTGGCTTTCTTGCCTTGCTGTACTCATCGTTTGTTCATTGGTAGCAATTAATAGTTTGATCTTGCTGGCCTGATATGGTGTTTAATCAACACTAATGGGACCTGTTACCCATTGACATGCACAAAATGTTGTGTAACTCCCCATCAAAGCCATGTTAAGAGAAAATTACATAACTGCAATTCCATTAATTCTCATAATTGTGCTCTGCTTCCTGATGCCCAAATACATCCCAAAGTGAATTTTCTTTGGCACAAAACGAACAGAAACAGCACTGTGGATTGAAAGACAAAGCAATAATAAATAGCAAAGCTTTTCTGGTTTGTAATGTCATAGCTTACCACCTGTGGGGCCCTGGTAACGAAGCTGGTTTTTCCCTTCCTCTTTAGGAAGAGAGCTTAAAACCACCCCACACTTCTGTATTATTTACACTGGATTTAAGAGTGGAGAAGGGGAAGCAGAGGGGATCATGCCTCCCATGACAGTGTAATGGATGAAACACAGTATTTGGGTCCTTTCTGCTTCACAGGAAATGAACAAGACACGCTTGGTCACAAAAAGAGATGAACCGCTTCCATGGTGTCCATCTACCTGGCATTGTTGAATCTGTAAGTGTCCACAGAGAAATGACCCTGTCCAATCACCTCAGGATTAAGTGTGTTTTCATTTATAGTTCCCCTACAAAACGGTTAAACTTTCCCAACTGCCCGATAGCATTCTCCCACTGCCATTCTGAATCCTGTTTTTCCTTCCCAAATGATCACCCACTCGTCTAACCCTTCTATAACGCTTTAATTCCACGACTGGCCTCAAGCACAAGCACCAGCTTCACACCTCAACTGCGCGTACATTCCACAAACACGCACAAGCAATGTGCATGGTCTCATTGCCACACACCATGGCTGCAAAAATACCAGACACCTGGTTCCTGGACACCTACACATTAGAAAATAGCTCCAAAATAATTGCTCTTCAGAGGGTTTGAAGTAGTGTTTCCCGTCTGCGTCACACAAAGTGATGTGCTCCTTTCTTGGGAGGTGTCCTGCTACCTGAGCATTTCTGTGTGCAACACAAAGCTGACCCAGACTTTTTCAAAATATGCATAGCATTTGCATCGTCAGGCAGATCCCTCCCTGCCAACCCACTCATTGCCATAGAGGGCTTTGTTTTTTCAGACCAAGACTCTGAGGCACGTGGCCCACAGTGCAGAGACCTCCCCATTACTAATTACTGTACAAAGAGAAATGAACAAGACAGGCAGTGCTATACTTCGTCCCCCCCCCCGGGGCGTCCTCTTCTCTCACATCACTGAGCAGCTCTTGGCCCGGTCTTTGCGGATATCAGGGTCAGTCAACAAGTCCGTCCGTCCAGGCATCTGTGCAACCCGCTTCAGACCTCGCTTTGAGTTGCTGCGCTTCAGGTGTTTGTGCACACGGTTGATGGATGCCAGGGTGGTGACGTGGAAAACATCCCGCACACTGTTCTCAGACACCTTGGAAGAGCACTCCACGTATGCCACGGCACCCAGCTGCCGGGCCAGCATGCTGCCCTGTGTCGGGAAAAGGCATCAACACGTCAGGCCAGAATCCACCACAGCCCTTTGCCTTTTGGCTTTGCTTTCATTTGTTATCTCCTACCTTCGCCTCCAATCTGCTAAAACTTACATGCCTTTAAGAAAAAGGGTCCCCGTTATTCCACGGTTCTGCTACAGCAGAGCTAGCAGTTAATTTTAGCTTTTCCCCCCCAGAAGGTGGAGATACAAGAAAAAAAAACGAGTAAGCAGGGACCAGTGAGTAAAATATGAAGAGTGAGAAGAATGCTGGTTTGTTTTGCAGCTTGACATCCATAATGTATGAGCAGCTGGACTGGTACCAAAAGTGTACTGAGCCCAGCACATTGAGCTGTCCCCCGAGAAGAACAAGCAGAGCGATGCGGAAAACTGTAGCCCTCCCTGCATCTGGTTCTTTGCGGTATCTGCCCTTGAATGTACAGGCTTGGATTTTATGTAGTCCATCTAGGATGCTGTCCAAAGTTGTTCTCTTGGCCACAGGTTGGACTGCAGTGCTTTTTTTAACAAAGCAGAAAAAAATAATTCTAAAAAATACCATCTAGAGCAAACAAAGAATTAATAAAAAGTTGAAGCCTCAATACCGCATATCGGTTGAGAGAGAACTTCCCTTCTTCGGGTTGTTAGCAGCCCTATGCTACTAATTGTGGATTCTCTCATTTGTACCAATTGCCTGCAGCTCTCTGTCCTCTAGATCGTCTTACTACCTTGTGCTTGGATCCTGCTGGAAAGGGCTTCTGTGGTTATGTTGGGGCAGGGGGCTAAACACACATACACACCAACACATTTTCTGTAGGTTGTCATATATTTACTTCTGCTGGACACATGTGGTCAATTGTGGCAGTGGATGTGTATGTTGGTGTCAGGTGGAATAATCCACAGGCCTTTGAACCCAGATCTTTAGCTCTTCCTAGCCAGTGCTCAGTTTTTAAACAGGATGAGTTCTGCAGCTCATCAAGTCTGCTTCATATCTGCATCTTTCAACACCAAGGACCTTTCCTTAATCCAAAGTCTATTTGTCCTTTATTTCAAGTGCATTTATAAAAGCTTAAAAGCAACATGCCTTCTCAAGACAGATTGCCAAAAAGAGGGTGTGTGTGGGGGCGGGGGGGGGACGGACAATCATTACATATAAATGGAAACAGTGGCATTGAAATAGCATTAAAACAATAAAAATATCACTGACAGCTAAAGCCTTTGAATGGAGGATAAAATGGACAGCAGGAGGATCATAGAGCCTGAGGTTCCTTGGAAAAAAGTCAGGATATCAAAGTAAAAAATGCATTTTAAAAATTGGAATACAGACCAGCATCAATTAACTGAAATGTCCAAGTTTTCAAAGCTCACTCAAGAATAGTAAGGGAGGGACCTTCCTAGCAGTACCTCCCATAAAAGGGCATTCCATAAGAATGGGGCCACCACAGAAAAGGCCCTGCCTCTTGTGCCCACCACCTTGAAAGTTCTTACTAGTAGGGACCCTTGATGGCCAGTAAGAGTCATATAGATACAGGTCCCAAATAACCAAGTCCCAAGTTGTTCAAGGTTTAAAAGGCACTGCAGTCTGGGTCTGGAAACACACTGTGCATGCTGCCTTTTCGGAGAGCCACACTTCCTTATGCCTTGGAACCAAACCCCAACACAGATACTAGGTACATGGTGTAAAACTGGGTGAGTCCAAGCTCTGATTAAAAACAAATCAAGACACCTGCTCATGTGTGACAGGGATAAGACGTTGTTTGGAGAGTTCCCGTAAAGTGTTCAAGTCGGTTCGCATATCCAGTTTGCAACCCACTAAAACCACCTTGGCACCAGGGCAGAACTCCTGTGTCTCCCCCTGCCACTGTGAAGGAGAAGAATGAGGAAACAAAGAAAATGGGATTAAAACCGTTGGCAAGGGGATCGACTCCATCCACCCCGGCCTCTGCACATTTCCCACCCCTTCACGCCACTTCTTTCTACATTCACCTTGCTTCCAGCCACTTTCTGCTGCATCTTGTTCATAAAGCAGCAGCAAGGTGTCCCACTGGTAATGTTTGCTATCTGACGCCAAATGCTACACATCAGCAGCAATGCAGAAAACCAGCATTTCAGGCAAGAGGAAGGCAATGCTCGCTATAAGTAGTGCATCAATATAAGATGTTATGCTTTGCAACATTTAGACTTTAAGGTTTCAGGCAGAGCTAGGGAACTCTCTAACGTTGAGCACCTAGCTGCTTAGGCAGGTAAATAAGTCAGTGACAGACCCAGTGATGATGGTTCTGCTCTTTGCATGTTATTTGGCTGGGGTGTTTTGTTTTTTTGAGAAACCTCTTACCCACTTTTTATTATAAAATAATCCCAAAGCAGGGTTCACACAATAAAACACGGTAAACAATATGATATTGACAAAAAACCCACAAGTAAACAAGGGGGATGGCAATAAAAAATGGTAATTTACATGAGGAGGCAAAAGAAAAGCCAAAGTGTTCTTAGGGTGCTTCCATTTGCGTGACCCTTGGAGCGAGGAGTGAAAAGATGTGGGCTTATCACATCTTTCCTTCCCTAGCAGTGGGGTGGGCAATTATAAGGACTAGGAGTGTGGTGACATCCTATTCACCCCTTGTCTCCTTTAGATCATGCTCTGTTGAAGAAAAAATTTGAAAGTTATAGAATCATAGAAGAGTTGGAAGTGACCAGGAAGGCCCGCTCAGTGCAGGACGCCAAGTTAAACCATCCCTCTCAGATGGCTCTCCAGCTGCATCCTCAATGCTTCTCTGGGGGTGGGGTGGGGGGACCACAACCTCCTGGGACAATTTGTTCCATTGCTGTACTGCTCTCATACTCAGGTCTTCCTGATGTTCAGCCAGAATCTGGCTTCCTGTAACATTAGCCCATTATTCTATGTCCATCACTGAGAAGTGATCCGGGTCTTTTTCTGTGTGATACCCTTTCAAGTACTTGAAGAATGCGATCATATCTCCCCTCCATCTAATCTTACTGAGGCTAAACCTGCCCAGTTTCTTCAGTCTCTTCTCAAAGGGTTTTGTTTCCAGTCCTGAATCATCCGTGCTGCCCTTGTTTGAACCCTTACCAGCTTGGCTCCATCATTCTTAAGCCGTAGTGCCCACAGTACTCCAGATGAGGTCTAACCAGTGCTCAGTAGAGGAGAACTAGTACTTCATGTGATTTGGAAGTGATACTTCTATTAATGCAGCCTAAAATAGCATTAGTCCTTTGTGCAGCCACATACATTGTTGACTCATATTCAACTTGTTATTTACAACAATCCCAAGAGCCTGCTCACTTGCAGTATTATTGAGCCGAGTACTCTCCATCTTGTAACAAATGCACTTGTTTTCTTTTTCCCAGGTGCAGATCTTGGCATTTGTGGCTTTAAATTTCAATCTGTAATTTTCAGCCAAGTGCTCCAAATGAAAAAGATTGCTTAGAATTTTGCTCCTGCATTCCAGGACATTAGCTATCCCACCCATATTTGTGTCATTTGCAAAGTTTATCAGGATTCCCTGCACTTTTTTTATTCAAATCATTAAATGTTGGAGAGCACTGGGCCCAGGACTGAACCCTGCAGTAAACTAATTGTTACTTCTCCCCAGTTTGAGAAAGTGCCATTGATGAGTCCAATTCTGTAGCCAGCTATGGATCTGCATGATAGTTGCACCATCTAGCACAGTTTTAGCTAGTTTGCTAATCAGGATATTATGGGACACACTGTTGAACGCTTTGCTGAAAACGAGATATATTATGTCCACTGCATTCCCACAGTCCACCGGGGGATGGGTGCGGGGGTTACCCATACAAAAATAAAATCGGATTAATTTGGCAGGATTTGTTAAGAACATCCTTGTTGGCTTCTAGTAATCACTGCAGTTTTTTTAAAGCTGTTTGCAGACTGACTGCTTTTCACTGCTGAAAGAGCCCTTTCAGGTTATTCAACAGCCCATACATTTAAAAATAAATATATACATTTATAATCTACTCCAGAATTTTCCCAGGGATTGATGTCAGACCAATTGGTCTGTAGTTCCCAGGTTCTTTGATTTTTCCCTCCTTGAAGATAGGGAAACATTATCCTTTCTCCAGTCATCTGGCACTTCCCCTGCCTTCCATGATTTCTCAAAGAGAATAGTCAGTGGTTCTGACAGTTCTTCTACCAGTTCATGTATGACTCTAGGATGGAGTTCATTGAGCCCTGGAGATTTGAACTCATTCAAACTTATTAGGTGATCCTTGACCATTTGCCATCCTGTTCCTTCAGCTTGTACTTTCCCTTCAATAGGGACATAGATCCTCTTTTGGGAGAAGGCCGTGCCAAATTAGGAATTAAGCACTTCTGCCTTTCCTTTCTGATCTGTTATCATTTTGCCATCCACCCTGAGTAGCTGAACCCCCATTTTTTCCTGTGTCTCTTACCATGAACTTTTCTGAAGAAGGCTTTTTTGCACTTTAGCATCCCTTGCTAATCTCATTTCATTCCTAGCTTTAGCCATCTTGACACCAACCCTGAATTTCATGCTACCTGCCTGCATCCCTCCTTTAGAGCCTGGCCTTCCTTCCAGACACGTCCTTTTTGTTTTCAGTTCATCTCTGAGCTTTTTGTGAAGCCACATGGGCACCTTCTGTTGTCTACTACCCCTTTTTCCTGGCTGGAATTGTTTATAACTTTGCCTTTAGAATTTCCTTTTCTAAAAATTCCCACCCATCGTGGACTCCTTTTCTCATTAGAATCACTTCCTATGCTACTTTGCTACTTATCATTGTTCTGCGTCTATTAAAATTGGCTTTCTAAAATCCAGGGTGAGAAGCACATCTGTGCATATCAGCACACAATATTAGCGAGTCTCTGTGGCACAATCAGTTAGTGTGTTCAGCTGTTAGCCAAAAGGTTGGTGGTTTGAGCCCACCCAGGGACGCTAGTTCTTTTGGACATGCACATGGTGGGCATGCCATGAGCAGGGCCGGCTGAACGCGGGGGTCAGACTAGATCGTCCAGGAGACCCCTTCTGACTCACTCTGTTTCTATGTCTCTATCATACTTTTGGACCCTGCCCCTTCTACGTCCTCCACTGTGGCTGGAGCAGAGGCTGGGCATGCTCAGTGGCTGCATGTGCAGGTAATGTTGGCAGCAGTGGGGCTTCTTAGAAGGCAGCAGAGAGAGCCCGTGGTGGTAAGAACACTCTCTCTGCTGGTGCTCAGCCCTCTGGCGTCTGTGCAGGACCAGAATTGAGTTCAGCGCTGGGCATCTGTTGAGTCATTCTTGGCCAACGAAAGGAAAGTGGTAGCGTTCCCTTGGTTCTTCTCCATCCCAAATGAGCAGAAGGGAGCCACAGAGACAAAGCTGTTGGCCAGAGAAGGGGCAGAGGGCAGGCAATGCAGGGCTGCATCCTCTCTGTGTGGGGTATTTCTGCACAGGAGCGGCTGTCAGTGTGAGTATCTTCTGTGGGAACAGGTGTGCTCTCTAAGGGTGTGCACGGGTGGTGTGTAATGCTTGGCTTCTTTGTGTGCATGGTCTGTGTGTACAGTGTGTATGTATAATATAGGAGAATCACCAAAGTTGGGGTGGAGACCCAAATGCAGTTGAGTTGGTCAAGGAGCACCTTCATCTCGGATGCTGCTCAGCTTGTCCCCTTGGCCACAGGGCTGCATATCCTACCCATGGCAAACAGAAGCAGGAGAAGCCACAAACGTTAGCAAATGTGGGCAAATCCGCCATATTTATTTATTTTATGCTGATTCTGGAATTCAGTTTTCTTGGCATGGAATTTGGGTCACCTTGGTGTTTCCCATGAGCTCTGTCACTGCAGAAATCAAGTGTACAGAAAACTGTTTATTCAGAGTCTCGGGTGATTTCTCCTCTGACTTTACAAGCTGTGTGGAGCCAAAGCTCTGTGGAAATCAAAAGCCAGTCCTTTGCGTCTGGCAGGCAGCAGTTACGAGAATCCCCCACCCTGATGTATCTGCATCCCAGCCTGGGGCACAAACACACAGCATTTAAAACCTCTCATATTTATTCCGGTTCCAAAAAGCTCAATCCTGGTTTCTGCTTTGCAGCGCCTGAGGAGCCTTCCTGGCCGTACAAGCCTGAAAAATGTTCACTGGAGGGATGTGTTCAGATAGTTCAGAAGAGAAGTCCTTGGGGACAGCATTTGTTTTAAGCACTGCGTCAAAGCCCCCACACTCCCCTAAAAGCCCTCAAGGAGGCCTGCAGCAGAACCGGATGAGAGGTAAACAGCAAGGATCAGAGATGATGGCTGAAAGGATGTGGCTGAAATAAACAGGGGTGGCCTGTAGATTCTAAGGCACTCTTCCCATTTCTACAAGACTGGATGTCTGCACCAGGCCACTGAGCAGGGACAGGGCAAGTATCTGGGGAGAAGGGACTCTAGCCCCCCCCCCACCCCCCCAGCATAATTTTGCTCAATTACGCAATGCAAAAGTGTTTGGCACCAACCATTCTGATCTAAAAAGATGGATTACAGCACAGAGGATCCCACAGAAAGTTGTGCAAAGCGCCGTGTGCATGACCCAGGCCTGTCTTTCCTGCCATGCAGCAGAAGTGCACATGACCACATCTTTCTATTTGTAGTGACCTGTTTTTGAATGTGGAGAGCATTCTTTGAATAAGAGCATTTGTCTGAAAGTTTGTCAAGCACATATCCACAAGCATGAGGACTAGAGGCTTGCCCCTTTTAACAACCCGAAGCAAAAATTCCAAGGATCACAAGTTCTGTAAAGAATGCTACATCAGAATTCAAAGGCTAACAGTATGTGGCACAACTGTGATTTTGGCGTAAACTAGAGTTCCTGTTTTCTCCGCAAGGGGGAAAATTTTGCCATCAGCTCTCCCAAGTTTCAAGTTCCCCTTCTGATCCATAATACAAAATTCTGACCTCACCAATATACTTTAGCCGGCTCACCTTTTTAAGGACACTGTCCAGGGTTTCCGGGCGGCTTATGTCAAAACAGATGAGAACAGCATCTGAGTCGGGATAGGCAAGGGGGCGCACGTTGTCATAGTATGTCGAGCCTGCATGAGAAAGACACGTAGTTTAGTCTTCAGACTAAACATGGTATTTAACCTTTTAGCTTAGATTGCATGATATGCAAATATTTCCATTTGCAGACTCCCAGAGACATGGAGGAAGAGGTGTGGCCTTCAGATGCAAGAGAACTGAGAGGAACAGTCCCTTGTTGTTGGGAACCGCTGCTCAGTTTTCCCTACACAAACGGCCCTCATGAGAGGGACAGAATTCTTCCCTCCCTGCCACACGCAACAGAGGAACTCCCTTCCCGGGCTGGGTGCCCTAACAATGACTTGTGGGAAAACGATGAGTCCTTCATGTTGAGAAAGTGAGGACTCGCGCCTGCTGGGAAAATATAAAACTCGATCTGCAACCTGAATTACACAGGAACCAATTGTGCTTACTCTGTGGTGAGGGAAAGGCACTCTCAGAGCTCAGAGGCATTCTGTTACCATTGCCACTGCCAGTGCCAGAACTCACGTTGCCACCGGCAGTAAGCACACACACCAGTCCCAAGCCGAGCAGCATCCCAAGCAGCTTTCTCTCACTATCAGATAGCAGACAGCAGACGCAACAGCAGCCTGCAGGCACTGTGTTAATGATGTTTGCTGCTGATCTGCTACTCCAAAATCACTTAGTGAAATCCATTGAAAAAAAGGTGCCGGAACACTGTTCCGGTGCGTTCTACGACAAAAAAAGCCCTGGCTACTGCTACAGGACCAAGCTCTGGTACCAAAACCAGGAAAACTGAAACTAGTAGCCATGTGCCTAGCTCCCATCTCCTCCTGCTGTAACAGATAGCACAACTTCCATATGTCCTACCTTTATTACAGTGTTTGGCATTTCCCTTCCCTGCTCCGCAACACTGGCCACCACTGATGGGAGGGTAAATGTTGAATGTTACAGCATTAGGATACAAGTCATATGTGCTCAATATTAAAAACAGGGCAAAGGGGAAGTCAACAAGTTACTGCTTGTTTAAAGAACAACTCTGTCTTTGTTGTAATGTCTAGTTTTGCCCTTGCCAAAGAAACTGAGACAAAAGTTAGTGCTCTCTCAAAACTGGCTGCACACTGGTGTCCCAGCTCAGCCATGGCGCGGCCCTTCTTGTCATGCCAAAGACTGCAGTACAGGACAGCTGCCTTTTGCGAGCAACATGGCAGCAAACTCTCCCCCTTTCCTTGAAAATCGTAGTGCTTTTTATACAGGGACAATGCACGCTCAAGTTGGTGGGGGGACTGGATGCCCACGCTCACTCTTGGCACCTTGTAACGGTCACCTATGCCACGACCTGATCGGAGCAGCCAACTAGCCAGAAAATCTGAGATACCCACTGTAGGTTCAGCCAACGTTTTAAAATTCCAAGAATCACAGTGGATGGGGCAGGACTCAAGAAAGCATCTATTACAGGGCTGCCCATTCTTTTTGGACCAATGGGTACTATTTGGAATTTGTGAAACTGTTGTGGGCACCATCACAAAATGCCTGGGCAGCATGTCATGTCTATAGATCTTAGTCTGCATCTTATTCAGCAAAAATTTGTTTCATATCTCTTGGGCAACACAGCATTGGTTTAAAAAGGTAAAGGTAAAGGTTTCCCCTTGACATTAAGTCCAGTCATGCCTGACTCCAGGGGGCGGTGCTCATCTCCATTTCCTAGCCGAGGAAGCCAGCGTTGTCCGCAGACAGTCTCCGTGGTCATGTGGCCGGCATGACTAAACACCGAGGTGCATGGAAAGCTGTTACCTGCCCACTAAAGTGGTACCTTTTTATCTACTTGCATTTGCATGCTTTCGAACTGCAAGGTTGGCAGGAGCTGGGATGGCACAACGGGAACTCACTCCGTTGTGCAGATTCGAACTGGCGACCTTTCAATCAACCAGCCCAGCAGCACAGCGGTTTAAACCACTGCGCCACCTGCAGTCCCTCAGCATTGGTTTAGGGATTATTTAATTCAGCTAATTGCTTGTAGTGCAATAAAATGAACACTTCTTTTAAATGGGTTTTACAATGTCCAGTAACTGCTTCTTTTTGAGAGGAGGTTATTACACAGATAAATATTGTACTGCAACAGTCTTTCAGTATTAACTAATATATGCTCTCTTTTCAATTACAGTACTTATTTGCTTTATGGAAATTAACCAATGGAATAGGAAATGGATTCTCTGTGCCCTTCTTATACTGAAAGGAGTGCTATTACAAAATAGGAAAGATACTCACCTTCTGTATTGCAATGGACTAAAGTCAGAAACATTGTGCAGCTACCCTGCCTTTGCTTACTCAACAGGTTTCCCACAATGAATAAAAAGGATGGAAAACAAAGGAGGGCTATGAGGTGAAGATGACATCTTGACCGTGTAAAATTCCATGAAGGAGGCAGGGTGATGGAAGGTGGGAACAACCTGAGACACCTTCTTATTACTTGATATGTTCTAAGAGGGCAGACCTGCTGCTTAAAGCAAATGTATCTGTAGCCCTGCAGTGAGTCCTCCTCTCCCAAACCTAACAAAATCCCACGATCTAACCCCATGCTGCACTGCACCATTTCAGAAAGGACAGCACACGGCCAAATCCATGTTCTTCCCTCCTTGTTGAGGCTTCCCTCTTCCACCCTTGGATGAAAGGAGAGGCATCACCCTGCTGAGAGCATACCCTCCACTCCTTCCCCAAAACCACACAGCAGCAGGAGAAATAGTCAAGCTGCTGTCACACAAGGATTTGCCACGGAGGAAGTAAAAGCAGCAGGCATTTCTAAAGGGTTGTGGCTTTTTGTTTAACTGAGACTGAAAAACCATCAGTGAATGAAAATGAGTTTCATATTTAGTTATTCATTTCATTTCTATAGAGTCCAATAGCCAAAGCTCTCTGGATGGTTTACAAAAATTAAAACCCTAAAATACAACACGAGAAAGCATAATCTAAAATTAAAACTGTAAAATAGAACAAAACTAAAGCAAAAACCAGATAATAGCCAGCAGCAGTGTAAGACCTAGAAGCACAACACCACAGGTAGGCATTGCAACTTTCCCAGAGGCAAGATTGTCTCCAGCACAAGAATGCCACCCCCATGCCCATTATCTGAGGAATGCAGCCAGTCTGGATTTCCTAGAAGTGATCAGGGCAGGCAGTGCCAAGGGAGAACTCCTAAGGTCCAACCGAAACTTTTGCACAGGCGTAACTGGTTCAGCAAGATGCAGCCACTAGAGGGCGCACTGCACCTCAGGCACCTCTCCCAAATCAGTTCCATTTCACCTGGTTCCCCTTGGCTGCATATTGTAACCTACGTCATAGAGGTATGAAGGAGGATTAGAATGGGGTGGGGGAGAGAGAGAGAGAGAGAAGTGATTCAAAATTTAAAAGGACTATGAAAGGCGCACAGGCTTGTGCATCTTATTGAATGACTTTGTCTATGGCACAGAGTCCAACATAAAACATAATACTATATAACATATAGCCATGCAGAATAGAAAATGCCAATTAAAAATCATGGACATATTTACAGAAGGTCTAAAACAGATCATCTCCTTTACATTCCCTGAGCTTCTTGCATTACCAGTTAGCAAACACCTTGACTTAATGAGAAGAACAGTTTCAAAGCTGCATATGCATGAGGAGACCCCCCCCCCCCACCGCCCGCCTGACTGTAGCTCTCGTGGGGGGTGGCTGGGGAGGGACAGGGCAGGCAGGCCACTTGCTGGGAACAGAGAGTAAGTTTTCCCCATATGCTTGCAGGCACCGTTGCCCACAGCAAAGTACTACTCTCCAAAATCTCCATTCAGTCACACAGCAGCACAATTACAATTGCAAGGCCAGAGTCCACCTGCATCCCACAGAAGACAATGGCGCAAGCCAGTCAGTGCCTCCGTGGTCACTGCCAGAAGTTTTGGATCAGGGCTTTTCTGCTGATGTGCCGGTGCACTATAGAGCAGTTGTGTAACCATGCGCTACCAAACCATGATGAAGAGGAAAGCCAGTAAGAACCTGGCGAGAATGACCCTGCCCAGAAGTTTAGATCTGGGTGAGCAGCAGATCACCGCTGGCAGCCTGGGCGCTGGAAGCCCCCCTCGCAGGGATAGCCATCCCTCCAAAGCTGCATTAAGAGTTGAGGGTTTTTTGTCTGCTCAGGCATATTAAAGCGTTATGTTGTCTTCGTCCACATGTGGCTTTTACAGTCTTTACTGCCTGTTAGTTTGTAGCTGTTATGAAGGGTTTTGTTTTATTGTATTTCTGTTTATTTAAATAAATTTGGTATGGGTTGATTCTGACTGAGGTCCCTTCAACAGGGCTGGTGGAAGGAACTTTTCTGACCCTTCTGCCCATGGCAGCACCTCCAGCCCACTGACAATAGTGACCAAAGAGGCCTCCCCTCACCAGTTCGGCCTCCTCGACTGCGAACTACCCCATTCAGCTTCAGCTACCGCTGGCCTACTTACTGGTATGTTCAGGGAGCTTTTGGAGGGGCCGCCGTGGGAGAAACCGACTTCCACCATGCAGTTGCATTTAACTATGCCTGTTGTACACTGCCCTGAAATCCATGGGTTAGCAATAATAAATAGTACGAAAAGTACAAAATGCCCTTCTTTGCACAACGGAGCAACAAGGGATGAAGAATGTGTGGAAATGTGTGGCATTAGATGTCCATGCAACTGCTCAGGCAGTTGAAGAAAAAAAAAAAAGAATTAAGAACAGAATCTCACTTAAATTCCAAATTTCATGAAATGTCAGTATCCGATTTCAGAACTAACTTCGGTTTTCTCTCCACATAGGCCTATTCACCACCCACACACACATCCAAAGAGAAATCCCTGCCAGATACTGCTTTTCACCAGTGGGGCTCCTCCATTGCAAGCACATGAAACTGGATCGACCTAATACTAGATCCTGAAATTTCTCCCTAAAGCTGCATCATTTCAAGAGAGCCCAAGTACATTTCTCAGCATTTCCAATCACACCACTTTCCCCCACTGATCACTTTCCTCCCCACAATTCTTACCAAGATGGGGTC